CCCCAAAACCCCAAAACCCCAAAACCCCAAAACCCCGAAAAAGTGTTATTCTGCTGAATATTTAATCTATTAATGGGAAACGGATCATCATCAAAATATGGCGGACTGGTCATACAGACAGACCAAGCTTATTGTGTCTCTGGCCAGCCCGTAACTGGGAAGATAGGTGTTCAGATTAACGAACCCTTTCCAGCAAAGAAGCTTAAAATAAAAGTAAAAGGGAAAGAAAAATGAAAATGGTACGAAAGAAAGTCAAGACAAGTTCAAGATGGAGATGAAGTGCGAATAGAGTATTACGAGGATAAGCATGATGAGGATCATAAAATATTTAAATTTGAAGAAACCCTTTGTGAATTTGATGGGGATTACATTGAACCAGGCCAATACATGTTTCCATTCAACTTCGTTCTTCCCTCAAATTGCCCTGCAAGCGCATATTATACAGGAGATGAAAAGTCAGTTGGATATATCAAGTATAAAGTTAAAGCTAGTTTTAAGGCTGAAGATGACACTCCAGTAAAGGACATAAAAGGAAAATGCCATCTTGTCGTTAGACAACTTGCTCCAGGCTCACATTTTAATATCAGAGCAAGAGAAGAAGTAGACATCAAGAAATGATGTTGATGCTGGTCTAAAGGGATTTGAAAGCTAGAGTGATGATTTGAGAGAAATGTCTACCATTCACAAGAAACTGCAAAAGCGATTGTAAATGTTGATAATTCTGATTGTGATGCAGATGTCGATAATGTGGTCATGAATCTGAAACAGACTGTTACTCTAAGAACAGATCATCACACATATCAGAGAACTTTCAAAGTGTTAGAAAGATTTTTTAAAGGAGTAGATGACGAAGAGAAGTTAGAAAATAAAGAAATAGAAATTAACCTTGCTGAAAGCAAGCAACCATTTAAGCATCATGATCATGATGATATAAAGCCTCTTGATCAATCCGAATCAATTCTTGCAGAATATCTTCAACCTACTACTAATGGAAAATGTGTAAATATTCAGTATCAACTTGAAGTTAAATGCAAAATGGATGATGTGTGATGCATCTATGATGAACCAAACTGCATAATTGATATGTTTCTGCAGCCTCCTTGGATTCCTAATTTTGCACCAGTTCAGCCTCCAGAAGGCTGGGATCCTCAAATTTATGACACTCACCAGATGTCCTTACCTTATCAGATTGCTAATCCTGGAATAACTGATGTACATCCGGAGTATGCTCAGATGCCCCAGCCACAGTCACAACCAATGCCTCCTAATGATCCTCAGATGCAGCCTTATTATGGAGGAGCTCCTGATGATCATTATCCTGCTCCAGATCCTAGCACAGCACATAACCAAGCTCCTCACTATGGTCCTGGAATGGATGGGCTAATGAAACATAAGGAAGAGTCAAGCTCTGGAGAAGTAGATTCTCATATCGGATCTCACCCGGATGCCAAACGAGGAGAGGCAGATGCTAATGATATCCACCTACAAATGGGATAGGATCAGAATCAGATCACTTTATAGAGTTCTTCACCAGAATTTTATGGTGCTATCAGAAAGAACAAAGATTGAAGGTCTGACCAAAATAGAATTTTAATTTTCAATCTATGTTCAGATTTTAGGGGTTTTGGGGTTTTGGGGTTTTGGGG